GGGGATGCGTTACCCGCAGTTGGGGATGCGTTACCCGCTGCAGGGGATGCGTTACCCGCAGTCGGGGTAGCGCTGCGGGCGAGCGTTACCCGCAATCGGGGATGCATTACCCGCAGTCGGGGATGCGTTACCCGCAATCGGGGATGCGTTACTCGCAGTAGGGGATGCGTTACCCGCAGTAGGGGATGCGTTACCCGCAGTTGGGGATGCGTTACCCGCAGTAGGGGATGCCTTACATGCGGTAAGGGATGCGTTACCCGCGGTAGGGGATGCGTTACCTGCTGCTGGCCCCCAGGTTCCCTCCATGGTCCTGATGGTGGAGCTGAGTTCGGCCTCCATCTCTTTCTCAAACTCATCCTCGCTAGACGACTCGCTCTCCCCGGTCAGATACTCTCTGATCAGCTTCTTCTTCTGCTCCGGAGTCCCATTCAGCAGCACATCCAGCTCGTCCTCGGAGCTGAAACACAGTGAAGAAGGTTCACGTCCTGCTCTGTTCCACTTTATCTCGCTTTGTTCAGGCAACCATTCTGCTGCAGACATCAGATGAAGCTGCGATTCCCGCTGACTTGGAAGTTTTTCACAGCAAACAACGATGTGATTCGTCAAGTAAACATGAACGACTACAGAAGACGGCGCAGGAGAACCTCCAAACTCTGCTTTAGAGAATGTTGAAGCTTCTGAACCTTCTCTAAAACTCTCAGTCTGGATCCAGTGGTGCAGACTTACTGGTTTCAAATTTCATTTATTTCCTGTTTTCCAGGAAAGCTGGGCAGTAACTACCGATTACTATCACTGTTGATCAATCTGTCCGTTATCATCTGGATTAACTGATCAGCTGTTTGGTTTCTGAAACGCTGATCTGAATGTGGAGAATCCAGGAAATATTCACGTTAAAATATAATTAAAAGTGTTTAATTATTTTTTAAAAATTGCTCAAATTATCAACAAAGCAGCTGCTGATCTTTAAACAGCTAATAACTGATCAATCTGTTGGACAGCAGAGTAGTAGCCGGTCTCGGTCCTGCCTCTTAGTTTCACATAAATATCAGAGTTTATGCTTTAAGGAATGAAAACTCACTTTATGTTGATTTTAGGTTCTCTCAATGTCGCTTTACTTTGTCAAACTTTATGGGGTTTGGACAAAATAAGATATGTTAAGCTTTCCTGAGGACTGTGGACATGACAACAGGGATTTCTAACATCTACAATTAAAAGAATAAATGGAAACTGAACCGCCAGTTATTCGTTTGCCTCTTTAAAGCCACCCTCTGGCGCAGACGTGTAGCTGTGTGTGATGTTTACAGGATGCTAAAGCTGAGTTATGAAGCTGTGACTGAAATCAAAGCGGCTCTTCAGTTTGTTTACATGTTAGCATATAGCCGCTGTTAGCATCGCGGCGCTAAAGCTGAAATAAAATAAATGTTTGACGTTAAACTCGAGTCACCTGCTCTCGGCTCGCTCCTCGTCACTCGGCTCCTCGATCTCATACGAGTCGAACTCCAGCGATTTGTTCAGTTTGTTCATTTTAAATGTTCGGAAGAACTCAAAACTACGAAAACACGAGATGCTAACCGGTTAGCAACAACCTGCGAACCGCTGCTGCTTCCGCTTCCGCTGCTTCTTCTTCTACAGTTCGATTGGTCGCAGTTCATTAGAAATGAAATCTGTAGCGCCACCCAGTGGATACATTTTAAAACGAGGAAAACAGGGAAATACATAAAGATAAATACAAATATGCGGATAAAGTTTGTCACGTAAAAGTGAGAAAATTATGGATTTCGTTCGTATTTTTTTTATTGCTTGTGATGATTTTTTGTTTTTTCTGTGTATTCCATCATCAGACTGGAAACACATCTGTTGGCTCTTGAAGTTTGCTGCTTCAGAGTTGATTTATTAGGACTTAATGACTTAACTAAACAACATTTTATATTTAGATTTCATCTTTCATGTGGTGTCTTTCTGTCAAAAATCAAACTCTGTCCAGGGGCTGTGTTTTTGTTGGTTTATTTACCTGAGACAGGTGACGTAACAGCGCTACAGACGTGCAGACCATTTCCCATCATCATGAACACATTTTAAAATGAAGTTAAATTAGATTCTCTTTAGTTGTTTTCAATTTTACTTTCATGTAGAAGCCTTTAAGAAGTGAATCCATTGAAAAAAAAACTTTTAAACACATGATTTCTAAATGCTCACGTCAAAGCAGCTCAACCTCAAACTGACCCAACATTTATAAACCAACCTGAGATGTTGTTAGTAGCTGAGCAGATGTGTCCAATGATTTGATCTAATTTCTCTGCTAAATACGACAAACATGAGCTACTGAACGTTCATCGATGGTATCAGAATAAACTGTTGGTCTGATCATGAATAAAAACGTCCACTACGTCACTGATGTAGTGGAACTTCAACAGAACAGTCTGGGCCT